GTTTTCAGGCGGAACCCAGTCAAACACTTTGACGGCTCTAGTCCAGACAGGATGAATTTCGTTGACATACACCGTCCCGGGAGGCGGTGCTTTAAAAATATATATATAAAGGCTCATTGTTCTGCACCCACCACACGTACTTCCTTAGTCAAAAACAAGATAAAGTGTTTCTGGCCAGAATTCAACCAAGTACTTCGGTGGCTATAATCGAGGGAGGATGACGTCCTCTGACCTAAACCGCTCAGAGGACATGGTTCTGAAACAATGTTTAGATGGAGTCATTGCCATGCTCTTCCCATAGGTATTTTTTATCCGCAGTTAGGGGACTGTAAGAAGCTCAGTTATCGCCATCATATCCGGGTACCTAACGGAAAAAAATACGACATGACCTCCTCCGTATCCTCTGCGACATATAACGTCGTTCCCTTACCCCCGAAATACCATCGACAGAACAGTCAGAATTTCTCTGAAAAGGATTACTTAAACAGTAAGTCATTCAGTTGAGGTAATGTCAATGAAAGGGATATACTTCGAAAATCAAAAATATAGGAAAGAACGGTTTCCCACGCATTCCTCAGGTTTGTATCTTACAGTCCATACCACAGACGGTACTGCAATTTATCCACGCGCGCCCATACCACCCGCCTGGACGGCGGCCTGCCTCCTTCTTGTACACCTTATAGATGCAAGAGAGGTCCTCAGAATCTGTCTTATTATCAGTCGGCTGTTTTCAAACACTGAGCCAGCACGTATTGCTTTCCTCTAGGCATAACGGTTAGTTGTGAAGTGGAAACCACCCATGTGCCGTTTATGGGTTTGTTTGCTTCATGCACCGTCCGCATTTCCACGTTAGGATAATGGACCGTAGTTCTCTACATTGGCAATATTGCACCATTTTATTGGAGTTGATTTATTGTATAACTTCATCTGCTGCGATCGACAACTCACGACTGGATTGATCAGCTTTCAGGTTGGACCACACCGCTTGCCTACAAGATACAATAACTTATGTTTACTACAGGGCACTCCGCTACCTTTTTCTCACTTCCACTAAACTATTTACACATGCACATAGACTGACCTAAACATGAAATTCTTGACCACCATTACCATTCTTTTATCTACATATACCTTACTTTGTTTGATACTAAAAACAAGATCAGTATAGTACTAGCAAGTGACATACAGCTTTGAAAACTCAATTTCAAGAAATTTCGTATGGAGAGCAGTCAGGTTGTAAAAAATACTAAAAATATTAGCAGACGGAATGCATACGTCTGTCAGAAAAGCAGGCGTGTTAAAACGCCAGTGAAGTTGTTAAACGCCGGTACTGCAGTTGTTATAATAATTTTACACTAGTCATCTTCTTTCTTGTCCCATGCTTTGCATTTACTTATTTCCTCGTAGGATGATGAACTGGTTGTTACTTCCTACAACCTGTCACTCGTAGCCCTTTATCTCTAGTGACCACGAACCACATTAGACTCTGATCCAACATGAGTTAGACGGTGGCAATTTATTCACTCTCCTAAACTTTTCCGATTAACATTTTTTTCCTTTTTTGGATTACGCGGATGATTTTTCGTTTACTTTTGTACCGCAGGTAAGGCTGCACGGCAGTTTTGGACCCAACTCCCCGCTGTCCGTTGTAAAGTCTCACCACTATAACTCCTATAACCATCATTTCCGTAAGACGCGGTCTACCGGCCACCATTTTCTCACCCCGCGCATATACCTAATCCTTGCCATGCTTACATATCAATTTAAGATAACTTAGTAATTCCACTTTATCCGATGTTAGTGGTCGGTAGACGACGCACAGGTTAATAGACAAAAATCGTCTGATCTTAATTATGTATGAAATAATTTCAGAACATCGCAATACTGCCTGGGATATCTCCTGCCTACAAAAGACCATTCATTTGGGTATTTAAGTCCAACCCCCTTTGAGTTTAAATATGCTTAAGCGGATCACTAACTAGTTTTCAAGACCAATTTTGCTTCCCATTATCTCGTCGTCTAACCGGCTTGCTGTCACTGCACTTATGTGCTGTTTTAGCTCATAGACTGCTAATTAGACCTCATCTAGCTTGTTGAACAAACTCTGACCGTTTGTGCAGTAGCTTTCTAGACAGGAATAAACAGTGCCCTTTGTAGCTCCAAAACTCGAAATGCTTGTATTTACTAGACTGTCAATATTACTACCATTTCGCAAAAGTACATCCCGTTTTCATTGAATGATTTATCCACCTCTTAATTTGAGGCCTGTTTCGTCTTTGCTCGTTCGCTCATTCAATTGCGTTATCAACTGTCGCATGTTCATTCTTTTTTCGATGCGTAGTCTGTCTGAAAACCTATCATGCACATTTCGTATAAACGATTTTCTTCGTAGCAGGAGAGGCGATCGTGCTTCGGTCGTTTCAATGATCTATAAGAATCTTATTCGGATGGCCGATGTTCTGGCCTTCTTGTATGTGTGCTCGTTCTGGTTGCTGAGTGGATTCCGGACCTCCTCTACGAACTTCATAGCGTCTAACTTAGTTGCGCCCAATGAGTACCGCCACTGTCACTGTGGGAAGATGGGATTTTCTGTCTAGTCTTCCAACTCGCATGGCGGGGTCAAGATATCCACTGTATTCCACATGCGCAAAATTACGACTTCCCCTATTTTTTATATTTGAGGCAAAGGATGGAGAAACGCATTTTACTTCATAGCCGATAGCTTGGGTTTTTGTCATTCTTTATCGGTGGCAATTGCGACAGTTTCTGGAGAACTTCTCCAAAGGAAATGAAGAGTAGTTTACATAGGTCGACCGGGTTATGTCCTTTAAAGTGTGTATTGAGTGCGTAGGCACTGTTGACCGAGACACTTAGCCGCGCGTCCTGTTACTTTGGTGTTTAGTGGGCAAGCCCGCCTCTTCCTCCCTCTCCCTCCTCCATAGTCGATTCATATAAGCTTACTGCAAATATGGTTGCTAAAAATACTTCCCGAGACGTAGTAGCATATGCAGTGCAGAAACATCTTGAAATCCACAATAACTGCTATATGTCCGATATAATATTTCGGAGAATTATATGTTATAGGATCCGCCTGCGTTTTTATCGCAAAGCATCTCTCACACTAGCGTAGCAACTAGGATTTTGAAAGATAAAAGAACATGAAATTCAGACCCAATTTAAAATGACACGTCCTTTCATGCGAAAAACCTTGTTGGCCAATGATACCGTTCCCATTAAAATAATTCGGCCCAAAATCGACTGTTGACCATGAATATCCCCAGAAGTAAGCGCTGTGCCGAGAAAGCTTAGCAAGCTTTATAAAAATTATCGTCAGTTCAGGAAATAGGAGAAGATCTACAAGTGGAAGAGGAATAGGCACAAGGTTTCACAGAGTCGGACATAGGACGATAATACTCCAGTCCAGCCCGGCTGGGTACAAATCAAACAAGTTTAGCCATACTCATAAACTTTAAAAGAACAGTGGGTGTGGAATTAATCATCGTAGGAGAGACGGAGACCGTCGGGATGGTATGGCCGACAATACTGAGATTTCCAAATCAGAAATCAGGGCGGACGTATTGGGTTGGGCAAACTTTACTGCAGAGGAAGTGCGTACACAAAGGCACTGCAAGGAGCCGCCGCGCGCATTTTATCCAGGCAAGTGCGAACTGTCACAGTACCCTTAGGCTAGACCGAAGGCGGTGTGTAACGACGCCGAAGGAAGTGCTCATACGTAAAAAACATGAGTAACCAAACGTTCAGGAAAATGAACATGCCGTCCACTATGGGTTATATATACAGGGACACAGTGAAGAGTGAGTATAGCTTGCGGTTATAGTGTTGGGTGTTGATTATAGGATAGATGCAGTTGGGGATTGTGGACATGTGGAGAGAGCGAGTATAAGGAACTGAGGGGTAGGAGGTCGGGAAGGTGGAACAGGGGACAGAGGACCACAGGGTTTATCCGGAGGTGTGCCCGTGACGGCAGTTTTCAGACGGTCCACGCTCACAAGCCCCTTGCGGGTTTCGTGTTGGGTGCGGAAGTTCTTCGCCTAGCGAGAGATAACCAGGGAGGGGCCGTCGTAGGGTGGCTCCAGGTGCCGGCAGACTTCATCACACCGGCGGTAGGTGTGAGAGCACGTCATCCAGTCTTTCTCGAGGTAAGACTCTGAGATAGATGACCTGGGTTGAACCGCGGAAAGTCTCCGCATGAATTTTCGAGAGGTTGGCAGGATCCCCAGTCACAGTCACCCAGTCATCTCACCAGGAAGTCGGACAGTGGCACCGGACACGAGTTCTGCGGAGTAACAGTCAAGGTTCGACTTGAGGGAGGAGCGAATGCCCAACAGGGCCAGGTGGAGATGGTCCGTCCAGTTCGTCCGATCTTCTGCGGCGTGTAGAGAGGCCGTCAGCTGGCGGTGAAACCGCTCGACCATCCCGTTGGCCGCCGGATGATTGGTTGTAGTGTGGATGCGAGTACAGCCGAAAAGGGAGAGAAGAGATTAGAAGAGGGTAGATTCAAAGTGGGAATCGCGGTAAGTCGTGATAGTGAAGGGGGCACCGAAAACAGCAACCCAACGACTGAGGAAAGCCTTGATGGCTGGTGGAGAAGCAGTATCAAAAAGAGGGATAACTTCCGGCCACCGAGTGAATCGATCCACGCAAATGAGGAGATAAGAACAGCAATGGGACAGAGTCAGAGGGCCTACCATGTCAGGGTGGACATGACTGAACCGATAGAAACGAAGAGACGAGTCCCAGGAAACAGTCGTGACGAAGGAGACACGATCGCTGAGACGCTTCGGATTCCTGCACGAACCCATCATCAGAGACAAAAGCAGACACGGGTGATGCATGCACAAGGGGCTGCAGGATTTATAGTATGCAGTTGTCATGCTACCGCAAACCTATGAATATTCATGGCTCCCCTCTTCATCAGGGATCGTTGCACTTGGTGTGACGACTGTTTATGGCCTACATTCGCGCCGTTATTTGCTACAATGTCATCGCGTGTGCTGGATGTTGGTGTGATGATTGCTCGACCATCCGACCCACGGACCCTGGCGGTTGGAAAAGTGGTCACGGGTGCGTTTCCCGCGTGGTTAATTACTCCGCCTAAACGAAGTCTCAGCACCGAGTATGGAAGGAGAAGTTCATTGCACTTGGTAATGGACTGGAGGCCAGTAAACCATAACTCAAGCAGCCCCCAGATCACATGGTCGTCGCCTCTTGCGAGAATTTCGGCCTCGTCGTATTTGAGTGTGTGGCCGCATCTCGTAAAATGAGCCGCAACTTGAGAGCTGGCGCCATTTCTCCGCACCGCTGCAGCGTGTTCGATCATTCGCGTTCGGAGCTGTCTTCCGGTTTTTCCGAGTTAGCTGCCTCGTCCGCAACTGCGCCAGATCCGATAAACGACTCCAGACGTTTCTTGCCATGGCATCGGGTCTTTCGGTTTCATTACCTGACACTGACGTTTCGGAAACTCTCCCGTTTCTATCATCCGAGCAGTGCGTTGATTCCTCTTGCTGGCCTTGCTTGCTTCTGAATCGATGCCTGTGGGACATCATAGCCCTGATTAATGCACGAACTTCGATCTGTCCGTTCGCTGCTGATTAGCGTTGACGTCTTCGTGACTGGCCGCCAGTGGGCTCGCATGACCCTTGTCCCCCTTTCGGACGTCGTAATCGCTGGTAGGTCAGCGTTCTGACGTTCATGCAAGCTGGTGCCAAGACGTTTGCCACTTTCGCCAAAACACCTTGCATTACAATTTTAGCAAGGTATGCTTAGACCACTGCTGACTGTTCTGTCACTGGCAACGGGTCTTTGGGCCTCACAATTTACTGTATGATTTTTTATTCCGACTTGTGAAACGCACCAACCCCGAAAAGTTTCAGGATTCTTGTCGTCGCCTCTGGTATGATCTCAACATAAGGGATTGTGATCTAAAGTTTCAGGTTCTCTTTGTTAGGATGTCAGCTTGCAACCAATCGCAAAGATAAACCGTCTATGGTTTATGGCCACGTACAACAGAAGAACCACAGTTTCGTTATTGAAAAGTCGAGGGTAATCGGCTGAATCAATGACAAGAAGACCAGATGGATGGCCCACGACCGGGACATTTAACGGAGCCGTAGACCTGCGTCCACCTATAGGGACATAAAATGCGTTTTGTTTTAATACACCTAAAACACGACCTGTAAAAAATTTAGCGCGACATTCAATAACAAGTTATGTCCAGGCTCATTTTCGTGGTCACTCTGTCTCTACTAATTATTCTCGCCATAGACCGGTTTATTTCCTACATTGGTGACCCCGCATCATTAAAAGTGCCTTCTGTTTCATTTATGCGCTTAACTATTTCCATTTGGGTTCAGGTCCACAATACATTTTATTGATCACATTATTTTAGCCAGATTTTAGTTGACATCCACGCTGCCTCACCTTTTAAACCAATACGGTCATCTACTCCAATTATCTGACCTCTGACCGACATTGGCTAATTATGTCCAGCGATTCTATCAGCCAGCCGATAACCGGTATTCACACCTTCAACCCTCCGGTCGTGTGGCTTGGTGACATCGCGTTGTGGCTGCGTGTTTCAGAATCCCGTTTCTCCCTCTGCCAGACTACAAGAGGGAATACGACATTTCACTATATTGAGGCAGCATTGCCAATGGATATCACCACGGACTTCGCGATATTATAGATTGTCTGCCCACAGAAGCGTCATATACAACTCTAAAGGAGACTGTCATCTCTCGCATTTCCCTATCAACGCAAAAGCATCTGCAACGTTGGATTTCCGAGGAAGATCTTGATGACCGGAAGCCTACACAGCTTCTTAGGCGTTTGGAGCAGCTGGCAAATGGAAATATCCTGATGCCACCATATTCAAGCAACTTTTCCTCCAACGGTTGCCCTCTTCTGTTCAAGCTATCCTTGCACGTTACATTCCTTCGTCTGTCCAGATGCTCGCGGAAATTGCTGATCGGATCCTCGAATACTACCGGCCGCCTGTTACGGTCAGCGTTGCTAGTCGTATCACAGCTGCGCCAACTGCACCTACAATCAAGAATGTCATGAAACGTCTAGACAGCCTCCCCTTGAAGTTTCCCTACTTCGTGCTTCACGTATCTCTCACCGTCGAAGTCTGTCAATTACTCGCCGTCCGAGACCTCTCGCTGCAGTGTCAGGCCCGTAAACGCCTGACGGTTTCTGATGGTACCACTACACATATGGGCTAAACGCCAACCACTGCCAATCCCCAAGTCGTTACGAGAAATCTTCGGCGGGGAACTCACCTGCCGGTCAGTAAAGACGACGAACTGGGTCGGTTCAAGCTTCCCAAGTCTCTTGCCCCACATTTTCGACAGGAGTTCCTCTTGCAATTTCCTCGTGGACGCTGATGCTGACGTCACTCTAATACGACCTTCTCCGATTAACCGTAAGCCACCAAACTCTTCCGTTTTTCTCGAGGCACCTGATAGTATCCCCTTTTAAAGCATTTGGTCAACGATCCCTAACTTTAGATCTTGGTTTACTACGTTCTTCTCGCTGGATATTTGCCACTGCTAATGTTCATATCGCCATTCTCAGTGCCGAGTTTATGTCCTTTTTCGGTCTACCCTTTGATGACAGGTTCCACAAACTAGATGACTCGATGACATCCTTGTATTCTAATTGTTTAACTCGTACCCTTTTATCCCTAGTCCATGCATTTCAACAATCCCTTGGTCTACTTCCAATCATCGTTTGCTTTCGGAATTTTCATCTATCATCCAGCCTCCGCAGGTTGATCAACTTAATCAACATTCTGTCATTCATAATAACTAGACTTTGAGAGTACCCATTTTTAGTCGTCCATGTCGCCTAACGACTGACAAGTCAGCCATCGCCAAGACTGGATTCAGACATATGATGGAGCTGGACATAGTGCGCCCCTGCACTAGTCCATTGGCCGCCCCCTGCACATAGTTTGAAAAAAAGTGACTGACACCAATACGATGATCACCGATGAATAAAAAACTGCATTGCCCCCGACAGATATTCGCTTCCCCACGTCCACGATTTTTTCTCCAGCCTAGCCGGTACAATAACATTTCCCGGCGCTGACCTAGCAAAAACCTTCTACCAAATCCTTGTTTCTCCAGAGGACATCCCAACAATGGTGATTGCGATTCCGTTTGATATTTTCGAGTTCGTTATGATTCCTTTTGGTCTACGTAACTCCGACCAGACATTTCAACGTATCATTAACGAGGCCCTCCGGGATTAACCTTTCGTTTTTTGCTTATGTCGATGATCTTCTAGTTGCAAGTTCCAGTGAACATCTACACCTGTAACACCCACGTCTCATTTTTGAACGTTCCCTCGCTCTTGTTCTCAGGACACCATGTAAATGTTTTCAGCTGCCATTCCATAAACGTCAAAGTTGTAGCTGCTCGCGAGCTTCCTACTCCCACTTATTTCTGACAGCTGTACAGTTTTATAGGCATTGTCATTTTTTTATCGACATTTCATACCCCATTGGGTTCCATTGATGTGACCCCTCAATAGGCATTTACGGGATAACAACCGCCGTGGATGCCTTCCAACATGTCAGTGAGACACTTGCGGATGAAACTCCTCTTTCCTACTCTCTAACTTTTGTCGCGCTCTCCATTGTTACTGACTTATCCAACTGCGCCATAGGTCCGGCCCATTAGCAACAGACGCATAGCCTTCTGCTTTGCTAAATTGACAGCCTCACATACTCGTTACAGCACTTTTGGTAGAGAACTTCTTGCCATTTATCTCGTCATTAAGAATTTTTGACAAGGATCGACCACGCTGTTCTGGTCCCAATTGTAAGCGCGAATTGAAAGAATTGAAACTAAAGTAAGCCGAATGAGGATGTTGAAATTGTTAGAGGGGAAAGGACGTGAGACTGAAATGGAAAAGGCAACCTGATGTATGACAAATCTGCGCGAGATGGAAGGAAGCCTAGAATCCCCGCGAAAGACCAGGCCGATAGGAAACACGGGATAGCAATACCCTAAGACTAACAGCAAGCCTAACCGTAACTTCAAATTAAACCCAATCCCCAACGTAATTATAAACATAACACTAACGATGACATCTCTGATGTCAATTTATATATTTTTTGCTACTAACTGTTTGTTAGTAACCGGACTTTACTTATGCGCCCTGGCTTTGTCTCTGTACTCCTATTCGTCGGTTCTCATCATTCTTTGTTCACTGTTGTTTGTCCATTATCTATTGCTCCTTGTCGCCGCTCGCTTTAGGAGCTGAAGAACTTGGGCATGTCCGAGACGATTCTGCGTTTCATCGTAGTTGTTTCGTAGGAGTAGCTGGACGGTCTCGATTGCCAGATCTTGGGGGATAGAAGTAAAGAGGGACGTGACATCAAAAGATACCATGACCTCATTTGGCAAGAGACTTACTTCTTTAAGCTTCTCCAGGAATTGCGTTGACGAACAGACAGTGGTGTCTCAGGACGTACTTCACGTTTGACGGAATAATCTACGAGCAAGTGAAGGGAACACCAATGGGCTCGCCGATTTCGGGATTCATCGCCGAGGCGGTCCTACAGCGGTTGGAGTCGCTGGCCTTCCAACACCACAGACCGAAATTATGGACTCGGTATGTGGACGATACCTTCGTCATCATCGAACGAGACCAGAAAGTAACGTTCAAAGAACGTCTCAGCAGCGTATTTCCGGACATACAATTTACGATGGAGGAGGAAGAGAATAACCAGCTGGCATTCCTTGATGTCCTCGTCTGTCGCAAAGATTGTGGTGGCCTAAAGACCAAAGTGTTCAGAAAAGCAACGAACACGACGCAAATTCTGAACTTCAACAGTAACCACCCAATCTGCCACAAACGCAGTTGCTGAGACGCACTGCAGTGAACCGGAAGACAAGGTTGCCGAATCCCAATATCTTCGACGGGTTTTCCGAGAAAATGGTTACCCGCGCAACTTCGTCAACCGGTGCCTGCGCAAACGAGACGAGCGACAAAATCGCGCCGACCCCAAATTCTGGCGAGCGATCCTGTACATCAAGAACGTCTCCGAGGCCGTTAGTCGCCTTCTTGCACCACTTGGGATTGGAGTTGCGCACAGACCGGAGGACACCATGAGGCGTCAAGTGATGAGAACAAAAGACTCACTGCCACAGCAAGAAACATCTGGAGTCGTTTACCGGATCTGGTGCAGTTGCGGACAAAGCAACTACGTCGGAGAAACTGGAAGACTGCTCCGGACGCGAATCGCCGAACACGTGGCAGCTGTACGGAGAAATGACGCCAACTCTCAGGTCGCGGCCTGTTCGACGAGACCCGGCCACACATTCAAGCTCGATGAGGCCGAAATTCTCGCGAGAGGGGATAAGCGCGTGAACTGCGAGTTGCATGAGTCATGGTTCACGGGACCTCAGTCTATCAACAAGTGCAACGACATTCCCACTCCATATTCTGTGCTGAGGCATAGACTGGCCAAAGCAATTGACCACTCGAGGAGCGCGCAAGCCGGTGAGCCAGATGGCCGAGCAATCAATACGCCATCATCCAACAGGGGTGATGAGATGTCAGCAATTAACAAACTTGCATGCCGGCCATCAAGCAATTAGCGCACCAGCGGGCAACAATCCTTGATGAAGGGAGCACGGTTAATTGCTGTAGGTATGCGGTAGCATGGCGACCGCATCCTATAAATACTGCGACTTCCTGTACACGAGCCACCCTTTTCTGCAACTGTCTCTGATGATGGATTCAAAGAGAGAATCCGAAACGTCAGGCGAATAAAGCCATTGTTCCAGCGATCGCTTCTTCTTCTGATCAATAACGGAGTTATCCCGATTGTCTTCTGACATAGCTTTGACCGCGGGTGTGTCTATTCCGGTGAATAAATCAACACCGAATCGAGAAAATCTAAAGAATACTATCGCTAACGCTAAACTGAACACTAAACCCAAGACAAGTCCTAGCCTTAGCAGTAAGACTAACCTTAACCCTGGTCCAAATCCTGATCCCAATCTTAACCCTAACCTTGACTGTAACCCAAACCCAAACCCTAACTTCAAACACAACCCAAACCCTGACCTTAACGGTAACCCTACCCTAACACTAACCCTAGTCCCAACCTTAACTCTAAACGTGTATCTAGACCGCAATCCAAATCCATGACTCTAACTGGAAGCCTTAAATTTAACACGATTCCTACCCCTAAACTTACAGTAGATGTGCTAACTCATGAAATGTCAACCAAAATTTCGAAATGCGTTCTCGTTTCGGAAAGATAAATTAAGTAGTGTTGTAAAACTAATCATGATGCAGCATACATCTATAATGATCCAGTTACCTCAGGGTGTCGGCTTTCGAAATAACTTATCTTCGGCTGCATGTAAGATCTACACTCCGCAAAAATGACTACTTAAGTAGTATGCAATTTTCTCATTGATCTTCGATGTCCTTGAAAATTCAATTATATTTCATGGAAAACATGCATAAAAATATTCATTCTTTTACTTATTCGGTAGAAAATCACGTCTTCTTCCAATTTCATACTCAAAAAGAGTATAATTCGGGTTTAAAAAAGTTTCTAATTGTGAGATTTTTTAATACTGTTAAATGGACG